AATTGGGATGGGAGTGTCAGAGACAGTGCGATTGGCACAGGACAGAGCAGAGTTTAGGGCTGTTGTACATAGGGTCGCTGTGTGACTCGACGGCACATAACAACAACAACAACAACAGCATAGTCTTGCTATCATTATTTGTCATATGTAGTTGTTATGTGCTGTCAAGTTGCCTGTGACTCATGGTGACCCTATGTACAACAGCTCTGAACCTTGCCCTATCCTAGGCCAGCCTCACTGACTCCGACACACCTACCCCCATTCCCCGTTACTTTGTCAATACATCTCACCCAGGGTCTTCCTTTCCTGTACTGTCCCTCCACCATTCCAAGCATTGGTCTCTCCTGGTTGGGTGCCCAAAGTATGTGAGATGGAGCTTCAAAATCCTTATCCCCAAGAAGTAGCTTGCTTTCACCCTCTCTAAGACAAATCTGTTTGTTCTCTTGGCAGTCAATGGTATTTTTAATACTCATCTCCAGTACCACAACTCAAAGGCTTTAACTCTTCTAACATCTTTAGTCATTGTCCAACTCTCTCATCATAGCAAATAACTGAGGAAGACCATGGCATCTATCAGGCACTCCTTAGTCCCTAGACTGTCATCATTACTATTTAGCACTTTGGGAGAGGTTCCTCACAGTAGACTTCCTCAAAGTAATTAATCTTTTACTTTCTTGACTGCTGGTGCCAAGAGTGTTGACTGTGGAGCTGAGCAAGCTGAAATTGTTAGCAACCTCAATCTCCTCTCAAGCTATGATGGTGCTACCAATTGGCACTGTGGTGAGAATCTTTGTCTTCATCATGGTTAGCTTCTGCAGTAAATGCCTCTGATCCTCCTCAGTTTCAGGAAGCAAGGTTGTGTCATCTGCATAATGCAGGTTGTTGGTGAGTCTTCCTCCAATCTTGATGCCATATTCCTCCTATGAGGAAGCCCAGCCTCCCAAATCTTGGGTTAAACTGGTCATATGTATTAATATCTTCATGTTTTAAACCCTATAAAGTTACAATTTTTGTTTCAAATAGCCGTATGTATTTTAAAGGAATTAAGAGGGAGATAATAGACATGTTGTTGTTAGGTGCCATTGAGTCGAATACGACTCATAGCAACCCTATGAACAAAAGATCTGAACCTAGTCCTATCCTGCGCCATCCTCACACTTCCTGACATACAAGAGCCCACTGTAGCAGTCACCTTGTCAATCCACCTGATTGAGGGGCTTCCTCTCCTCCACGGACCCTTCCCCCTTCCCAACATCACGTCTCTCTCCAAGGAATAGCGATTCCTTGTAGTATGTCCAAAGTTTGTGAGGTGCAGCCTCATCATTCTTGACTCCAAAGAGCACTCCAGCTGCACCCTCTCCACGTCATATCGATTAATTTTCTTGGCCAACCATGGAATGTTCAGTGCTCTTCTCCGACACCACAGCTCGAAGGCATCAATTGTTTTTCTTTCACCCTTATTCACTGTCTAGGTCTCAGATGCATAGCTAGTAATTGTACAGACCATGGCCTGCCAGATCCACCTTAGTTCTCAACCTGACATCACTACTTTTCAATAATTTGGAAAGGTCCCTAACTGCAGACTTTCCCGGTGCAACGCATCTCCTTATTTCCTGACTGCTCGTACCAAGGGTGTTAATTGTGGATCCAAGAAAGATCAAGCTCTTGACAGTTTCAATCTCCTCTCCCTCAATCATGACACTGCCTATCGGACCAGTGGTAAAAATCTCTGTTTTCTTGACTTTGAGATGCAATCCATACTGAAGGCAGCATTCCTTGATCTTCTGCAACAAGTGCTTAAATTCTCCTCCTTTCAGCAAGTTGTGTCATCTGTGTAACACAGGTTACTGATGAGTCTCCCTCCAATTCTGAAGTTTGTGTTTGTGATTTACTTGAAAGTCAGGGTAAACTATTTGGGCATTTCTAAATTGTTAGCTGATTAACTGTATCTGATCTCATTTATAATCAGCTTCGGTGGAAAGCCTCTCTGTGGGCAGGCAGTACCTGGTAGGCGGGCCTTGTCTGGTCCTGACTGTGAGTGAGCCTTTAGCCTAATTAAGTTGGATTCTGGTGGGTGTGATCTACTTGAAAGCTGGGGTAAATTATTTGGACATTTCTAAAGTGACATGCAATCAAGTGTAATGAACTGTATCTATCTCTGATCTATAATAAGACATACACAGTATATTATTTGTATTTCCTAGTGCTCTTCA